ATGACCTAAACCACCAATGCCTTCGACAGCAACTTTAGTTCCAGGACCAACATTGTGATGTTTTAATGGAATGAAAGTAGTCACGCCTGCACAAAGCAATGGACAGGCTTCAGCGGAACTAATTTCTTTAGGAATATGAAATACAGATCCTGAATGTGCACGAATTTTGTCAGCGTAACCACCATGAGCTTGATATTCAGTAGGAGCACCTTCAGCATCTTTCCACATATCATTGTAGGTGAATACCAACTTAGCACACAATTGATTATAACCTGTGGTACACTATAGTTAAATATATATATGAAAATTAGAATACGATCATTTAAAAATGGCAAACATTTAAGTTATATTGATATCATATTATTATTATATATTTACCTCGTCACATTCTCCGCACGAATAGACTTGACAACCGATACCGACACGATCCCCAATATTGAAATCGTCCACTTTGGAACCTTTTCTTGAGACTTTGCCGACAATTTCATGTCCGACGATGGCTATAATAACAATTGAATTTAGCTCGTATACAATACAGTAAAATCAATAATGATACAAAAATTCAAATAAAATACCTGGATACATAGTTGGATACCAGCCAGATCTTATCGTATGCAAATCACTACCTATTTCATAATTTCTCTAATTAGATTAATCGAATGAGATAATTATATTAAGAGTGTTCTCAAGCATTTTAATCAATTGATCGGAACAGGACGGGGAATAAATTTAAAAAAAAATGATAAAAATTTAATTGGCAAAAAATAGGTTGACCGATCAAATATATTTATCATTCTAATTAACAAGCAATGGAGGTCCAGATATCCTTTTTTTCATGCTCTTTTACGTTGTCAGCAAATTATTATTTATGCTAAGTTGTTTGCTCGTATTTTATCATAACAGTAATATTAAGCATCGGCACGTGAAAATAGTTCAATTAGTCTTCAACATTGGTCTAATTAAATATCGCATAAATTGTACAACAACATCACAATCACAACAAGTTTACTGCTTGAGAACACCCTAAATGTCAAAAAAATTGAGCTATTAATACTTACCACATATGCCGCAATGTGAAATTTCTATTTCAATGTCTTCATCGCCTAATGGCCTGGGGATGTATGAATAAGGTTTCAAGGTACTTTCTTTGTCGAAGGCGGCATATCCATGAAATTCCTCGGCCATTTCTATTTGCCATTATATTGGGAAAGAATATAGGTTGATTAGTAAAATTGGCTAGAATAAAAAAAAAATTGATATAAGGGTGCATCATGTAACGAAGACTACTAAATTAGATAATACAATAATGATCGTACGTAGCATGTGAACATAAAAACCCTTAAGATGCGTTATAAATCAAATTGTTTTATTATTATTATTATTATCTTACCGTTTTTTTTAGTAATTTCCGGTTACAAATGTCAAAAATGTAATAAGAATAAAGTTTATATAGCGATAGTAAATTTTATAATATTGCAAGACAAGATGATTATAAGTTTAAGAGAACAGCTTTATTAGATTTTATTGAGATAAATGTTGAGTCTTCATTCTACATGGCTTCAAACACATTGCTTTTATACATTTTTTTTAGCTTTTGATCACTGAATTTTATTCCATTATACATATAGGGCTATCGCTAGGAAGCGGTTATTGATTCACCCAATTTTACCGACACCTATCTAATCTTTTAACCGGCATCACATGGGTGACAATTTACTATTAATATATATATGCAACTAATAAAACGCTAACCCTAACTCTATGTGATGTCGGTTAAATAAGATCTACCCTGCAATTATACGGTATAATTACGTAAAAGTGTAGAAAATGGTAGTATGATACCAGGTATACCATATCTGATATAGAATATGGTAGTACGTACGTATGATATCAGGTATTTAGGTATATGTAATACCGTATATATAATATGGTATGCATGGTAACTAAAGGTGCAGACATTTAGGGTAACTACCCTGGCAAAATAACGGCATATTTGCCGTATAAACAGAATTGCAACAAAATTGATTCACGATTTTGATTGGCTGTACTATGTAAACAACATGTTGTTATGGTGGTTTGCAAAAAAGGTGATTTCATGATGATAGCGGAGAAATTTCCCTATTATTATAATTTTCAATCAATAACGTCTATGTTTTATTCGAAATCTTTAAAATTCTCCAAGAATCGAAAAATTTACAATATATTGAAAATTTTGGTTATAATTATGATTTTTTAGTGTTTAAACGAAAATTTCTCGATAACTACTGGGTCAAACTTGATAAAAAAATTTTATTTTAATTCTACAGGTCTGTGGAATTAAAATAAAAGAATTTTTATCGAATTGATTAAGTAGTTATTGAGAAATTATTATTTAAAGTTTGAAAAAAAATACTGTTTTTTCTTTTACGAGAGAGTTAAAACTTTGAATGAGGATTTCTCAGCGATAACCTGATCAAATTCGGTGAAAATTTTTTATTTTAATCCTGAATGCTTGTAGAATTAAAATAAAAAAAATTTCATCGAGTTTAGCCACGAGAAATTATTGATTATATTTTTAAAAAATTTAAACATATGCATTGCAACTTTAATTGTTAAAATTAAATAAATATTTCTCAATAATTACTTTATGAAATTTGGCAAATTTTTTTATTTTAATTCTACATGCCTATAGAATTAAAATAAAAAAATTGTATCAAATTTGGTTTAATAGGTACTGAGAAATCTTTGTTTAAAGTATAACTATCAATGATTTCTCGACAACTACGTGATCAAATTCGATAAAAATTTTTTATTTTAATTCCAGGCATTTAGAATTAAAATAAATTTTTTTTATTATTGCAAAAAGATGCGACCTCTGCAGATCACAATATCGTGTGAGAATCGGAAATTTTAAGAATATTACCAATTTCAAATAAATATAATAAACTGATCGAAAATAGACAATTTAGAATTTTCCTCGATCGTAATCACAAAAATAATGGATCACATCTTTTTGCAAAGCGCTATAAATTTGGCCAGATAATCGCCGAGAAATCTTTGTTCAAAGTTTTAACTCGTAAAAAAAAATATACTGTTTTTTTTAACTCAGGGTGTTCTCAAGCATCCAATTTCATAGTAGTCAAAATAGTGCACAAGTATTATGACGTAATTTTAGCTATTGTCATTATATTTTGAATAATAAAAGTTAATACGATATTATTGAGGCATGCTTTAAATATTCCTGTAATTTCTAATAAATACTTAATTTCAACGATAGATCTCAAATCACTCATTACCTGAGAGAATTTTAAATCGTTTATTGAAAATATGGATTGATAATGAAAATTCATAATAAATGTATGAAAACACTTGAGCAATACTTTATTCACTTTAATTTTTATAAAATTTGATAAGTCAGTACAAAAAAAAAGCCGATTCAAGACAAAAAGTTTTTTAACTGAAATAGTAAACTATTCATTTTTTAATACCGTATTTAAAATTTTTTATTTCACATAATAAACTACCTTACTTATCTTAATGACAAGCTCGATTGATAAATTAAAAATACTTTTCATTAATTAAAATTATTTCCAACACATTTCGGGTTTGCAAACCCTGTAGTTTCATGACGATGATAGTGAAAAAATTTCTAAGATTTTAATACCCTATTGATCATAATTTTCAATCAATAACGTCTATATTTTATTTTAATTCTACAGACCTGTAGAATTAAAATAAAAAAATTTTATCGAATTTGATTTAGTGGTTATCGAAAAATTTTAACACTAAAAATCATAATCGTAGCCATTTTTAAGATTTTCAACGTTTTTTTAAAACTTTAATTGAAGTTTTCTCGATAACTACTGGGTTAAATTCAATAAAATTTTTTTATTTTAATACTATATGCTTGTAAAATTAAGATAAAGAATTTTTTTTTATTTTACACTGTAGAATTAAAATAAAAAAGTTAATTGAATTTGGTTTAGTAGCTGGTGAGAAATAATCACGAAAAGGTTTAAAAAAATATCTTAGAAAAAAGACTGACGATTTCTCGATAACCAGCTATCCAAATTTGATAAATTTTTTTTTATTTTAATTCTGTGTGTTCATAGCTGGTTGTCGAGAAATATTCATTAAAAGTTAAAAAAAAAAAAAAAAATTTGGTCGGAGCTTCTTTTTTAAAGACATCAAAACATCAAAACTTTGAACGAAGATTACTCAGCACTTACCTGATCAAAATTTTTTATTTTAATATTCTATATGTTCATAGAATTAAAATAAAAAATTTTTCATCGAACTTGAATAGGTAAGTGCCAAGTAATCTTCGTTCAAAGTTTTAATGTCTTTAAAAAGAAGCTGTGGCCAAAATTTTTTTTAACTTTTGATAAATATTTCTCGACAACCAGCTATTCAAATTCGATCAGAATTTTTTTTATTTTAATTCTATGAATTCACAGAATTAAGATAAAAAAATTTTCATCGAATTTGGATAACTTGTCGAGAAATCCTCGTTTAAAGTGCAACTATATAATTAAAATAAAAATATTCTACTGAACTTAATCAGGTAGTTGTTGAGAAATCATCGCTAGAAGTTTTAAAAAACTTCAATTTATTAATAGGATCATATTCCGGTACAAATAAGTAAAGCCAATCACAATAATGACCCCGGGTTTGGTTTACATCGCTAGTTTACATTGAATTAGCGAAACTTTTAATACATACAGTACTTTGAATTTATTTTTAATATATATATTTGGGTTTTTCTTAATTTTATTGCCTTTCATATTTTTATCAAAGTTTTGGAACATACATATATACGTTCTTGTATTTAAATTATATACACGTATTACAGAAAGTAGTTAAATTTTCCATAATTATACATATAATAAATATATTTAATATTCATTGGAATTATTTTATACGTATGCGAAACTAATCTAAAAATGATAATTTAATATACAATAATGAACTTATAATAATACTGTATTAATAAACTTCCTTGGAAAGTTATAATAAAAGAATTAATTTTCCAACACTACTCTATATCTAACCTTTCCATTTTGCACAATCTTGATTCCTTCATTAACTTCTTTCATAGGGACTTTTTGAATCCAGGGCCTAACGTTATGCTTTACAGCGAATTCAAGCATATCCTTAATATCTTGACTTCCGCCAATAAATGAACCTTCGACTTTTACAAATCTCATAAAAGCGAAAGCAGGAATCTGAAGTGGAATTTCTGGAAGACCGAGCAAAACGAGAGTTCCATGGTTCTTAATTAAGTTCATATATTTGGACCAATCTGTATTTGGGTTACTAGAAGTTGAAATTATTATATCCTGTGAACGAGTGAATTTTTTAATATCATTCTCGTCCATAACATTCAAAAAATGGGTGGCACCAAGTTTGACTGCCTCATCACGTTTTCCATTACTAATATATCGAATAAATTGGTGTAAGAAAATTATAATTTTATAATTTGAATAGATTTTCAAGTCACAAACATCATACATGCCTACGAGAGATAGCGGTAACTTCAGCACCCATCTTGGCAGCCCATTGAATTGCTAAATGACCTAAACCACCAATGCCTTCGACAGCAACTTTAGTTCCAGGACCAACATTGTGATGTTTTAATGGAATGAAAGTAGTCACGCCTGCACAAAGCAATGGACAGGCTTCAGCGGAACTAATTTCTTTAGGAATATGAAATACAGATCCTGAATGTGCACGAATTTTGTCAGCGTAACCACCATGAGCTTGATATTCAGTAGGAGCACCTTCAGCATCTTTCCACATATCATTGTAGGTGAATACCAACTTAGCACACAATTGATTATAACCTGTGGTACACTATAGTTAAATATATATATGAAAATTAGAATACGATCATTTAAAAATGGCAAACATTTAAGTTATATTGATATCATATTATTATTATATATTTACCTCATCACATTCTCCGCATGAATAGACTTGACAACCGATACCGACACGATCTCCAACATTAAAATTGTCCACTTTAGAACCTTTCCTTGAGACTTTACCGACAATTTCATGACCGACGATGGCTAAATAACAATTGAATTTAACTCATATACAATACAGTAAAATCAATTATGATACAAAAATTCAATAAAATACCTGGATACATAGTTGGATACCAGCCAGATCTTATCGTATGCAAATCACTACCTGTTTCATAATTTCTCTAATTAGATTTTAATTGAATGAGATAATTACATTAAGAGTGTTCTCAAGCATTTTAATCAATTGGTCGGAACAGGACGGGGAATAAATTTTATTTAAAAAAAATGATAAAAATTTAATTGGCAGAAATGACCGATCAAATATTTATCATTCCAATTAACAAGAAATGGAGACCCAGATATACTTTTTTTTTCATGCTCTTTTACGTTGTCAACAGATTATAATTTATGCTAAGATATTTGCTCAAACATCAATTGCAAATTAATACGTCAATACGTGAAAATAATTCAATTAGTTTTCAACATTGGTTTAATTAAATATCGCATAATGATTATACGTAACACCACCACAACCATATCAAGTTTACTGCTTGAGAACACCCAAAATGTCAAAAAAATTGGGTTATTAATACTTACCGCATATGCCGCAATGTGAAATTTCTACTTCAATGTCTTCATCGTCTAATGGCTTGGGAATGTATGAATAAGGTTTTAAGATACTTTCTTTATCGAAAGCAGCATATCCGTGAAATTTCTCGGCCATTTTCTATTTGCATTATATAGGGAAGGAATATAGGTTAATTAGTAAAATTGGCCAGAGTAAAAAAAAAATTAATACGTAAAAGGGTGCCAATTCGATCATGTACTTAATTAGATAATATAACATTGATCGACACAAAACCTTAAACTAATTGTTAAGGTTATTTTATTATTATTGTTATATTATTATCTTACCGTTTTTTTAGTAATTTCCAGTTGCAAATGTCTAAATGTAAATAAGAATAAAGTTTATATAATAAATTTTATAATATTGCAAGACGATTATCTGAATGTATAGGTTTAAGAGAATAGCTTTATTAGATTTTATTGAGATAAACGTGGAGACATCATTCTACATGGCTTTAAACACATTGCTTTTATACATTTTTTAGCCTTTGATCGCTGAATTTATTCCATTCTATATAGGGCTATCAGCTAGAGAAGCGGTTGTACCGGTAAAATAGAAATGGTAGTATGATACCAGGTATAATCTCGTATAATATGGTATATGTAGCATGGTACAAGTGCAAATATTTAAAATCTTTAACCCGGCAAAATAACAGCACTTGAATGCCGCATGCTATATCTGATATGCTATATGAATCGTATGCAGTATGTCGTCATATAGCTATTTACCATTACCTAATACGTACTCTCAAATAAATCCAAATTCAGTTTATTCCATCAGGAAATTAAACTAAACAAAACCTTATATTTAATAATTAACAGTTAATGTGAGTGAGGGAGTTGGTTTAACATGAGATCAATTAGTATTTTTTATGATTACTAATCATTTGCGGACTTTAAATACTAATTGACCTCACGTTGGAATTAACTTCATGTTGGTAGTACGATCAGCCAATCATGCTGGTAGTAGACCGCGTCGTGAATCTAATGAAAAATATGTTTTTGTTTCTTTATATTTTTTATTTGTCTTTTTCTTATTCCTGTATTCTCTTTCATTATTTTTTTCGTTGTTTCCTTTTCTTTATTTTTTTTCTTTTTTTTTACTTTTTTTTTTTTTTATTCTCTTTTGCCCTTTTCTCTCCTTTCTTTTTTTTTTTTTTTATTCGCTCTTACCTCTTCTACTTCACTTTTTTTTATTTTTTTTATATACCTTTCTTAATTTCTTTCTTCCTTTCTTTTACTTTTCTTACTCTTTTTTCTTTGTGTTTCTTTTTTTTCTTAGAATGTATCTTTCGTCTTGGGGTTTGTCTTTCTTTTTTCTTCTGAATTTAGTTATCACTTTCTTTTTTTCTCCTGCAAAATTTCATCATTAGGTGATGCCATCATTGTAGATTCGTAGTCAGTATTGATTTCGGTAGAACGTAGCTGACCATTGGTAAAGCTTTGCTTGTGGTGTCGCATCTAGCACTGTTGTGTTGCCATTTAGGTTGTTGAGTAGTACTGTGAGTGGAGCTCTTGGGTGGTTTTAGTGACGATAAGTATTCGCGTAGGATAGTTTTAAAAAAAAAAATTATTATTTGTAATACGTACTGTACAGTACATACGATACTATGTACTATGTAATTTATATATTTTTTTTGAATAAAGAACTTTAATTTCATAAAAAAGTTAAAATTTTAAAAAAAATCTTAATATTGGATAGTTGTCGAAATATCTTTGTTCACATGAATGTTTTTACTGTTATGTATAGACGGTTTAAATTTTACGGAAAGATATCTCGACAACCACTTAAGCAAATTCGATGAACTTTTTTTTATTTTAATTCTAGAGATCTCCGTAATTAAAATAAAAAAAGTTCATCGAATTTGCTTGGATGTAGGGTGTCTGGCATAGTGGCAAAGGCATGCCAACGGTGGCATGCCAATAGTGGCATGCCCTGGCATGCCAAAAACAAATTTGGCATGCCACTGGGTACAGTATAAAAATTATACTTACAATACCCAAACCATATATATAGTATATATATATTATAAATAATATATAATATTTTATGGCATGCCTTTTGGCATGCCATAGTACAAATTTTAACAAAAGGCATGCCCTGTGGCATGCCAAATTTTTTTGGTGTGCCAGACACCCTACTTGGATGGTTGTCGAGATATCTTCGTTCAAAGTTATTGTTCAAGTGTTTATTACTGTTATTATTATAGACGTTTTAAAATTTTACAGAATTTTGAGCGAAGATATCTCGACAACCATCCATGCAAATTCGATGAACTTTTTTTTATTTAATTCTATAATTAAAATAAAAAAATTTCATCGAATTTCCTTGGATGGTTGTCGAGATATCTTCGTTCAAAATTATTGTTCAAGTGTTCATTACTATTATTATTATAGACGGTTTAAATTTTTACAGAACTTTGAGCGAAGATAACTCGATAACCATCCATGTAATTCGAAGAACTTTTTTTTATTTAATTCTAGAGATCTCTATAATTAAAATAAAAAAAAAGTTCATCGAATTTGCTTGGATGGTTGTCGAGATATATTCGTTCAAAGGTATTGTTCAAGTGTTACTGTTATTATTATAGACGGTTTAAATTTTTACAGAGCTTTGAGCGAAAGATATCTCGACAACCACTTAAGCAAATTCGATGAACTTTTTTTTATTTAATTCTAGAGTTCTCTATAATTAAAATAAAAAAAGTTTATCAAATTTCCTCGGATGGTTGTCGAGTTATCTTCGTTCAAAGTTATTGCTCAAGTGTTTATTACTGTTATTACTATATTTTATAGACGGTTTAAATTTTTACAGAGCTTTGAGCAGCACAGATTTTCCAAATCCAGACTGCAGATCATTTCCGATCTGGCTCTGAAATCCAATAAAATTCGAAATATTTTAAAACTTTGAGCAAAGATATCTTAACGACCACCTGATTAAATTCAATGAAAATTTTTTTATTTGAATTCTACAAATCTGTTGAATTCAAATAAAAAACTTTTTATCGGATTTAGTCATTCAGCTGTTGAGATATCTTCACTCAGTTTAGAAAAAAATTCAAAACCGTCTATCAAAATAGAAGCTGCGCCGAATTATTTTTAAACCTTTGAGCAAAGATATCTTGACGACCACCCAACTAAATTTGATAAATTTTTTTATATTAATTTTACAGATTAGTAGAATTCAAATAAAAATATTTCATCGAATTTAGTCAGGTGGTTGCCGAGATAACTTCGCTCAAAGTTGGAAAATTTTCAAAACATCGCTAAAGTTGTGCAAATTATTTCTAAATTTGAACGAAGATATCTCGATGACCTCCTGACAAATATTTATGAATTTTTTTTTTATTTGAATTCTACAAATAAATAGAATTCGAATAAAAAATTTCATCAAATTTGGTCAGGTGGGCGCTGAGATAACTTCGCTCAAAGTTGAACAAATTTCAAAACGTTTCTCAAAATAGAAGTTGTGCCGAATTATTTTTAAAAATTTAACTGAAGATATTTCGACAACCACCTGACCAAATTTTATAAAAGTTTTTTTATTTGAATTTTACAGAATCGCAGAATTCAATTAAAAAATTTCCACATAATTTAATCAGGTGGTCACCGATATATCTTCAACACTAAGTTGAAAAAATTCAAAACATCTCAAAATAATTAAGCTGCGCTGAATTATTTTTAAATCTTTGAGCGGAGATATCTCGATGAGCAGCTGACAAAATTCAGAGAATTTTTTTTATTTACATTCTATGAATCTGTAGAATTCGAATAAAAAAATTTTCATCAAATTTGGTTAGGTAGTCGCCGAGATATCTTTGCTTAAAGTTTTAAAAATAATTTGGCGCAGCTTCTATTTTGGTAGACATTTTGAATTTTTCCAGTTTTGAGCGAAGATATATCGGTGATCACTTGCCTAAATACAATGAAAATATTTTTATTTAAATCCTATAAATCTGTAGAATTCAAATAAAAAAAAAAGCATCAAATTTGGTCAGGTGGTCGTCGAAATATCTTCACCTAAAGTTTTAAAAATAATTCGGCGCAACTTCTATTTTAATAGATGTTTTGAAATTTGTCCAACTTTAAGCGAAGTTATCTCAGTGACCACCTGTCCAAATTCGATGAAAATTTTTTTATTTGAATTCTACTTATTTCTAAAATTCAATAAATAAATAAAAATTATAAAGTTTGTCAGGCGGTCATCGAGATATCTTCGCTCGAATTTTAATAATAATTTGCACAACTTTTTGAAATTTCTCAACTTTGAGCAAAGATATCTCAACGACCACCCGACTAAATTCGATAAAAAATTTTTATTTGAATTCTACTAATCTGTAGAATTAATATAAAAGAAAAATTTATCAAATTTAGTTGGGTGGTCGTCAAGATATCTTTGCTCAAAGGTTTAAAATTAATTCGGCGCAGCTTCTATTTTGATTGATGGTTTTGAATTTTTTCTAAATCTGAGCGAAGATATCTCAACAACTGCATGACTAAATTCGATAAAAATTTTTTTATTTGAATTCAGCAGATTTGTAGAAAATTTTTTATAGAATTTAATCAGGTGGTCGTTAAGATATCTTTGCTCAATGTTTTAAAATATTTCGAATTTTATTGGATTTCAGAGCCAGATCGGAAATGATCTGCAGTCCGGATTCGGAAAATCTGTACTGTACGCTGTCCCTGTTAGCTTTGAGCGAAGATATCTCGACAAGTACTTAAGCAAATTTGATGAACTTTTTTTTATTTTAATTCTAGATATCTCTATAATTAAAATAAAAAACGTTCATCGGATTTGTTCGGATGGTTGTCGAGATATCTTCGTTCAAAATTATTGCACAAACGTTTATTTCTGTTAGACGTTTTCGAAGGTATCTCGACAACCATCTAAGCAAATTCGATGAACTTTTTTTTTATTTTAATTCTAAAGGTCTCTAGAATAAAATAAAAAAATTATTAAGTTTTCTTAAATGGTTGTTGAGATACTTTGTTTTGAATAAAATTGATAATCATGTGATCGCTTTTTATTGGTTGATTACAAGGATCGTGTCACTATAAAATAACGCAAGTACTTGTAGTTTATATCTTATATCTAATAAGTATTTAACAAGTACTTGGTTATATTTCATGATGTCCGTGATTTTATATGATCGCATGGGGTCTTTCCTTGAAAATGACCCTACGGTATCATGTACCGTAAGGTCATTTTCAAGGCAAAGACCCCGCATGTTTTACTACTTATAATCGTTTTAATCAGTAAAAAGACTTCGGGAAATAACAAGCATTTTCGGAAAATTTAACCGATAATTATTCGCTGAATATGGCAACATTATTTATTATCAGTTCGAAACTCATATATACACAAATCTTTACTTATAAATCTAGTTATTATTGGAAATCTATACATTGAGAGTCTACAGATTTTATTTTTTTAAAAAAAAACATTCAGAATAAATTGGATTCAATAATAAACGTATCTTTCTAAAATTATTGAAAGTTCTTCAACACAAAATTGCGCGAGAATTCAATCCACAGATAACTTACTATTCTTGGTTAATATTCAAACGGGCAGGCTTTCCAAATTTCTATTTCATATTTGACCAGTAACGGTAATAATAAATACGCATTGCAATAATATCCAATAACACGAATTAAAAACTTATTGAATTCGATCTAATTACTGTAGTTGCCAATTTTTATCAGTTGTCCCAAATTTATGAGAACAGTTGTAAAAGTGATTATGAGTCGTAAAACTCTATGACCTCATATAGAAACAAAAAATAAAACTTTTATTCTCGCTGTTGCAGAAATAAATAGTATTATTTAATCTGAGTATAAAGATTATTAATCAGTACTTATCATAAAATACTTATTCGCCATTGCTTCAAATCATTTCATTCACTTTAATTTTGGTGGGTAAACATGTGATCCTGACATAATATCAAGGATATTGATGATTGCATCAGAGAATTTCAGCTTAGAATCATTAAATACGGGAATGTAATTGATCGGGTCTTTCAATAGATTATCTAATGTTAAAGAAATTGACAAAGGAGGATTTGGCTATACGAAAAGTTGGTGGTAGTGATTATGTAAAGCGCGTGGACCACCCCATACAAAACTATGATTTTTGCATTATGCCTAATTGCCAGCAAAATTTTTAGGGGTAGCAGGCAGTAACTCACGGCAATATAACCTTGGGGTAGTACGATCTACGTCATATCCGTAGTGCCGTGAGTAGTCACTACCCTGAGAAATTCCACATCATTAACCTATATCTATGTATGTAATACTGATATACCAATGGTATGATACGGTGTAGGTATCCCTACTATGTATTGTTGGAGGCAACTGGGCGTAGAGTGTCCAGGGGGGCTGCTGCCTTAACGGACAAATTCCGCTGCGATTGTCGTTAAATTTGCGAATTCTGCGGCGGCACATAAATAATACTTTAAAAACAAAATCACAACAAAATTACAACAAAAAGAAAATTCTAATTTTATCACAATAGACTATGTTCTCCAATCATTTATTATTCTGCTCGCAGAATTCTGTACAAATTCTGCGCAGATTCTGCCGCCGCAGTCCCCTGGACACTCTAACTGGGCGGCAACACGGACTACCCAATCACCACCAAAACAACAACCAACCCACACGATATGTCCGGCGGTATCGATTTGGCAAGGTAAGGCTAAATCGGATATATCGTGGGGACAAAAAGTAACCTAATCACCACTTTATTCAAAGCATTCACTGCTCTTTATTAAGGGCAAAAAGAGCCCATTTTATACAATTTTATATGCGGGGGAACAAAAGAAAAAGAAGGTTTCTAAGCTATTGCGCAATATTGCGCAATCATCACGGCAACAATTATTTCCTCCCAAGGCATACAATTGTTTGTCTATTGTACTGCCCCAAGCCTAAGGTCTTGTGGTCTTTATGCTTCGTGGGAACGATTTCTTCGTGGGTTCTTTGGCGCATCGAATCAGGTCTTGGTCACGTTTTTAGGCCTCGTGACATCGAATTCGGCGCAGCGGATTTTGACGGTTTTGCCACCAACAGTATCCTTAGAGAGTAGAACACTAGTGCAGTAGTCCCAATCATATTCGGAAATTCTATGGGGACAGTGCAAATTCACGTGATATTAAAATCATTTACCCTATCAATCAACCAACTAAAGCGAGTGTTCCGATCCTATCTTTGACAGGCCTATTAAATCCGGATTGAATCCGTGTCAGATTAGATATAAAGCTAGCTTTGAGAACATCCTTATGTCCATTATTTAAGTTCTTTGACAAATCCGAGTAAAAATCTCTGATATGGATATTTAAATTTATCAAGATTTAAGGATCAATTCAGATGGTTGGATTAAGGATCGGAGCATTAATTCTAACAGCTCTTTAAGGTTAGGGTTAGAAAGTTGTACTATAAAATCATTCTTACACCTCTTTAAATTTTAATAAAACCATTCTAGCTGCCTTTTAAAGTTAGTACCGTATTAAGATTAGGAAGATTGTTTTATAAAACTTTAGGGTTAGCTAGGATTAGAAGTATTACTTTTTAATCAGAGCATATCGAGATTGAAAAGTGTAATGTTCACGTTATAGATCTTGCAATATGATTGGCTAAAATCATCCTCATTTGTCATTATTCGTTACTGATCTACTTTCTTCAAGTCATAGAATTCGGTTTCAGCCGTTCTCAAAATATGGCAATATGACCATTAAATGACTATGAACCTTACTTAGTATTCATTTAAATTTAAATTATCGAAAATGGGTTGCATTCTTGAAGTATCAGGATTTTCGTATGTGGCTGATGTAAGTCAATTATTCGAGTAACTTATTTATACGTACACGTTAGAGTACGCGTAATGATCCATTAATAGTAAGATCCGGCTTTAAACGAACATTAAGATTTACTGTGCAAAAGAATCTCTTTACTTATAAGATAAATATTTTTTCTATTTATTACTAATGCTAGTTATATTAAAAGTTCTGAATGCTAAAAATGGTCAATAAAAAAGAAGATTGATACGTATGTGCAAATAATAACAGATAAAATTATACATACTAATATTTTGCGTATTGCATAATATATATTTGGTAATAGCTGATAACGTGTGTATGGACTAAGGAGTAGCATATAATGATACGTAATTCACGTGTTATTTTTTATTATAAAATGAGTTTTATTAATAAATTCATTATATCAATGAATTTTATATAGGCTAACTTTGTATCTAACTTCACTACATCGCCACATTGAGAGCCAACTATAACAAGAGTGACTTTGTATGAACAAAATTACATCATTGCCGAACAGAATACTATAGATTAGACTTTATTATATCAATATGCGCTGTAGTAAATCATACACTCTAGTCAAAAGAAGTGTGTTGTCGGAGAAATGACATTGTTGGGAACTGAACTTGACATATATCAGATCATGCGTAACCAACTCTATTCCTTATTTGAAAAAAGAGATTATCTAAATAAAAAAAATCTATTTAATATTAAAATCTAATTTTATTTATAATATCCTTAATTAAACTTTAATAGGACATAATAATACGTCCTAATCATTAAAACTAAATTATGTCTGGAATTTTTTCAATTGTCCGATATCATCAAGCATTGAACGTATTTCCTCATCTGATTTCTTACACAAACTATTAGTTTATTTAAAAATAGATAAAATCGTTAGTTCTATCAAATCAATATCAATGTAAATAATGTAAATGATTATTTTCAAAATTCACTTTCCTTGGAATAAGTGACTTTGCTTCTTCTACCTCGTCACAACATAGATTAGCTAACTGAACCAATTCATATTTGTGAAGTTTATGTCTCATCAACGTTCTGATTTTAAAAATCAAATAACGTAAAAACACCATTTCAAAAGAGACCATTTAAAAAAAAAAGGAAAAAATTTACACACTTTCGAATTTCTCTTACGGATTCTTCGTTATGAAATTTGGTAAATAATTCCACGTATTTGGCAGTTTTTTGATATACTCTAAAAATTTCATGATATAAATTAAAAAAAATGGAATTTTCAAGCGCTTTGCGTTGATTTAATATATCTTTCGATTTTGTAAAAAGTGAACAGCACTGACTGTGTATTTTTCTGATTTTCTGGTATTTTTTGTAATAAAAGATGCACTTCGGAGATGAATAAAAACTCTTCACCCTCAAAATCTATAATTGTTATGTGATCAGAACGAAGATCTGAATATTCACGATTCTTTAAACATAATTTAATATATACCTTCACCAAATTTTAATTTTGAAGCGTCTTCCTCTTCTTGAGGTGCTCTGCGGGCTCGGCGATTATGCGACATCTTTGAATATAGAGTGTGTAGACGTCATAAATCGATTTATACGTAACGGTAATTTCATTTTAGGGATAGTCATCTTTGATTGGCTGATGTGAATTTAAAATATCGTGTAACGTCGGAGAGCTCAGCGTTAGTGCTTTTAAATTTTTAGATCACACTTTAATCGCTCCTTAATTAAAGATGTCCTTAATTCAGACTGAACAAGAAGTACTTGTCAATACCAGAGCTGGTGGAGTTTACATCCCACCTTCTAGATTAAAGTTACTACAACAAAAAGTTACTGATAAAGCAAGCTCGGAGTACCAACGAATTACCTGGGATGCCCTCAAAAAAAGTATCAACGGGCTCATTAACAAAGTAGATATTTGTATTCTACCCTTTTATTATTTTTCTTGATTAAGTACTCACTTTTTAAATAATTTTTAGGTTAATACTTCAAACATCAAAAATATCGTTTTTTGAATTGATAAATGAAAATTTGATTCGTGGTAGAGGTCTTTTTGCAAGATCAATTATGAAAGCACAAGCTGCTTCACCTCCTTTTACGCCAGTTTATGCTGCATTAGTTGCTATAATAAATACTAAATTACCACAAATTGGTGAATTAGTGCTTACTAGATTGATCGTTCAATTCCGTAAAGCATATAGAAGAAATGATAAGACAACATGTCTTGCCACAACGATTTTTATTGCACATTTAGTTAATCATCTTGTAGCTCATGAGATTGTTGCGCTACAAATTCTTGTACTTTTATTAGAAAGTCCAACAAGTGATTCTGTTGAAGTCGCAGTAGGATTTATTCGAGAATGTGGTGCCCATTTAGCCGAAGTATCTCCAAAGGCAAATAATGATGTTTTTGATCGTTTTAGAGCAATTCTACACGAAGCAAATGTAGAAAAAAGAGTTCAATATATGATTGAAGTTTTATTCCAAGTAAGAAAGGATAAATATAAGGACAATCCTCCAATAGCTACGGATTTAGATTTAGTCAAAGAGGATGATCAAATAACTCATCATTTATCGTTGGATGATGAATTGGATGTTGAGGAGACTCTTGGTTTGTATATATTTAATATGCCACATATATATATTTATAAATAAGCCATGTTTACAATTTTTTTTTTTTTTATTACCATTGGATAGGTATTTTCAACTATGACCCTGATTATCTAAAAAATGAAGAAAAAATACAAAGAAATCAAAACTCAAATTTTAGGTGATGAATCCGAAGATGATGATGATGATGAATCTGGTTCTGAAGACGATGAAAGCAGTGAGAATGATGAAGGTAAAATTGTCTATATTACTTTCATATTTTAAAATAAATCTTGATAATTTTTTTTCATATACTTATATATAATGTTTCATTTATTTAATATAGAAGTTGCAAAAAAACTCGAAATTCGTGATCAAACTAATACAAATTTGATCAATTTGCGTAGAACAATATACTTAACTATCAAGTCAAGTGTTGACTTTGAAGAATGTTGTCACAAGCTCATGAAGCTTAATATTCAAGAAGGGCAAGAAGTAAGTATTGACGCATTAACTATTTCAATCATCATAATCATTATCCAATTTTTTTTTTTTTTTTTTTTAAACTTGTTTTAAATTTTTTATTTAGTTGGAACTCTGCAACATGATAATTGAATGTTGTTCTCAAGAGCGTACTTATGAAAAGTTTTTTGGTCTAATTGGAGAACGCCTCGCAAAGATAAATTTAGTCTGGGCTAAATCTTTTGAACAATGTTTTGTCCAATACTATGAGACCATTCATCGTTATGAGACAAACAGATTGCGAAATATTTCAAAATTTTTCGGGCACCTTTTGGCTACCGACGCTTTGTCCTGGCAAGTGTTTAACATTATAAAATTGACTGAAGATGAAACCACGTCAAGCTCTCGAATATTTGTAAAAATATTATTTGAAGAACTGAGTGGCACTCTAGGTTTGCAAAAACTCAAAGAAAGGTTAAAAGATGGCACAATGCATGAAAACTTTGTTGGTCTATTTCCAAAGGACAATCCGAGAAATACTCGTTTCGCAATTAATTATTTCACTAGTATTGGTTTAGGTCTATTAACTGATGAATTAAGAGAACATTTACAGGTAATTATTAATTTATATTATTTTTTAACGATTAATAGTTTTTTATTTATTGACGTTTATTTTGTAATATATCATAACATTTTATAGAATGCGCAGAAATTGCTTATAGCGCAGAAACATGCTCTAGAAAGTGACAGTTCATCAGGTTCATCAGACTCTTCATCGGATTCATCGTCAGGTTCATCAGGTTCATCATCGGATTCGTCATCGAGTTCGTCATCATCGAGATCGTCGAGTCGTAGTAGAAGATATGTTGCGAGAAAAAGAAGAGAAAGAGAAAGAAGAAAGAATAAATGAAAATTTAGAATGTGTTTCGACCCAGACTTTTTTTTTTTCGAATTATGGTATTACTATCTAGTTTGGGCCTCATTTGGAAGAATAATCGAAATTCAAATATATATCCTATTTTTAGTCATTAGAAAGATGCTGGCAACTATTGGTGAAATTTGTTTTTGAATTGGTGGAATTGATGAGATCGGTGAAACTAATTTTAACAGCAATAATGTCAAACAACCAAATTTGTTAAAGGCTATAAATTATTAAACCTTTGTTATTTACATTAATGATTTAACGACTAGACAGGATATTTGAATAAACGATATGTTAGGTCTAAAAGTTTTCTTTGAAACTCGAATAGAATTTCCTAATAATTTTTTAATAAAAAATCGATGCCCTACGTATCAGTTAAATGATTAACCTGCAATTATTAATTGGCTACTTCATTTTATTAACTTTCAACTCAAAATTATGTTAGCTAACTACGGCATTTTTACAAATCACAGATTTTTTATGTTACACGATCAGCAATATATATATATTTAATAATTAATAAAAAAATATAACGCTAACTGCTAATAACATAGTAAATTTAAAATAAAAATTTTCAATTAAAACATTCAGTTCTTAGCTCCATCAAATTCATTAATTTTTGACGAAGTGTTATTCAGTTTGTTTTTTTTCATTACTGGTTCATTGGAAATGCTTTGGTGGATTAACTGCAATTTATTATCGTCCGTTTGTGTTGACATTTGGCTAATTTCATAATTTTGTTTGCTATGCTGAGCAGCTTTTCGTGCTTCTACTGCAGCTTGACTTGCTTTACGTGATTGGAATTTTCGTTTGGATACTTTTGGCATTTTGTCTATTATTATAATCGATTAAATATTTCTTGTGATTCAAGATAAGGTTATCACTAAAATTTCAAAAATTTTCTCTTACATCAAGCCACTTGTTTATTATTGATTTCACTCTAACTGCACTTAATACTTCACAAGTGTCAAGAGATGAATGTCAAGAGATGAAGTAGAAGTTTGACTAAATACTAATTGAATCCCTTATATATCTTTAAAGTATGCAATATATTACATCAATCAGTCAAATTAAGCTTTAAATTACTTATAAATTTTTATGACACTATATATTACATTACATACGATTATCTTTAATCGATATAAAAGTTTCAACCCGATTCAACTTGCCGTCAAAAATGAAATAACGATTGAAAATTTTTAAATATTATTAATTAGACTGAAAAAGATTATCTCAAAATCACAAGTTGAAATTTACTTATAGCTTTTGCAAAAAATCAAACGTAGAACCTCCGAAATAGTTCTAATGAATATGCTTCATTCAAAAGAAACTCGAAAAATAAGTACAATTTTCGTATGATTCTTTTAGGAATTCGCATCAATTTTATAATTAAACATTCGCTAATAAAAATTTGATTTGATCAATTAACTGACATAGTTTTGATTACTTAGTTGATGTCGCACCCGATGCTTGACGAAACCATGTGATGCTAATTGTCACATGGTACAATATATAAAAAATCAACAATCTATTATGATTTTTTGTAAGTACCGGTAATAGCATGATAATTAGCATCAATGGTTTCGTCAGGCATCACTAGTACTTTCAAATTGTGAAAATATCAGTTATACCTAGGGTTGTAAACTTACACAATAACTTACAAGAATTTAGAATTTTTACTAAGTAAACATATGAAAATTGCTTGTAAGTTACATCGTAAGTTACATCAAAATTTGAAATTATCGTTATTGTTTTACAACCCTAGTTATACCTCATAGTGTTACAAGCCGGCTGGGGCAGCCGCGGCTAAGGCAGCTTAGCCGGTCGATGTAATATGATCGGGTCTTTCAATAGATTATCTAATGTTAAAGAAATTGACAAAGGAGGATTTGGCTATACGAAAAGTTGGTGGTAGTGATTATGTAAAGCGCGTGGACCACCCCATACAAAACTATGATTTTTGCATTATGCCTAATTGCCAGCAAAATTTTTAGGGGTAGCAGGCAGTAACTCACGGCAATATAACCTTGGGGTAGTACGATCTACGTCATATCCGTAGTGCCGTGAGTAGTCACTACCCTGAGAAATTCCACATCATTAACCTATATCTATGTATGTAATACTGATATACCAATGGTATGATACGGTGTAGGTATCCCTACTATGTATTGTTGGAGGCAACTGGGCGTAGAGTGTCCAGGGGGGCTGCTGCCTTAACGGACAAATTCCGCTGCGATTGTCGTTAAATTTGCGAATTCTGCGGCGGCACATAAATAATACTTTAAAAACAAAATCACAACAAAATTACAACAAAAAGAAAATTCTAATTTTATCACAATAGACTATGTTCTCCAATCATTTATTATTCTGCTCGCAGAATTCTGTACAAATTCTGCGC